GTGAGATGAGGAGATTAGTGGGAGAGGAACTGGGGTCCTTGAGGGCAGAGGAACTCAGCGTCCAAGAGGAGTGGTCGTTCCTTAAGGAAACGATACTCGGGGCCCAAGGGGTGTCCATCCCAACAAGAAGCAAGGGGGGCAGGAGTGTCCGAAAGCCCCCCTGGCTCACCAAGGGTGTCCGGGAATGCCTGCTTGCCAAAAGGGTGGCGTACGCCCGGTGGAAGGGGGGTGTAATCTCCAAAGAGGAGTATACCTCCTCTGCTCGGGCCTGCAGGCGGGCTGTTAGGAAGGCCAAGGCGGAGATAGAGCTCGGATTAGCGTCCAGGATTAAGGATAACAAAAAGTCCTTTTTCAAATATATTGGGAGGATGAAGAAGGCGCCGGGTAATGTGGGGCCCCTGCAGGATATGCGGGGCAATCTGGTGGTTGCGTCAGAGGATAAAGCGGACCTCTTTAACCAATTCTTCACCTCCGTTTTCTTGTGCAGGGACCGGGACTTCCCTGCTGTGATAGAAGCCGGACGCGAGGGGATCGCCTTCAGACCTCAGGTTGGGGAGGACCGGGTTAGAGAGCTTCTGGAGGGGCTGGACGCGTTCAAGTCAGCGGGTCCGGATGCTCTCCACCCCAGGGTGCTGAGGGAGCTGGCTGGGGTTATTGCAGGGCCCCTGGCACGGCTCTACGAGCGATCGTGGTGCTTGGGCCAGGTGCCAGACGATTGGAAGGTAGCTAATGTGGTCCCCATCTTCAAAAAAGGGAAAAGGGAGGACCCGGGCAATTATAGGCCCGTCAGTCTTACCTCAATCCTGGGGAAGCTCTTTGAGAAGATCATCAAGGAGCACATTTGTGATGGGCCGGCATCCGAGATGATGCTCAGGGGCAATCAGCATGGATTTATTAGGGGGAGATCATGTCAGACCAACCTGATTGCCTTTTATGATCAGGTCACAAAGGCCATGGATGCAGGTGTCGCGGTGGATGTAGTCTTTCTGGACTTCAGCAAGGCCTTTGACACCGTCTCTCACCCCATCCTAATTAGTAAACTAGGCGACTGTGGCATAGATGCCTACACGGTCAGATGGATTGCAGATTGGCTGAAGGGTCGCACTCAGAGGGTGGTGGTGGATGGATCATATTCGACTTGGGGGGAGGTGGGTAGTGGAGTCCCTCAGGGCTCGGTCCTGGGCCCTGCGCTGTTCAATGTCTTCATCAGCGATCTTGATGTTGGGGTGGAGAGCAACCTGTTTAAATTCGCTGATGACACCAAAATTTGGGGGGAGGTGAGCACGCTAGCAGGGAGAGAGAGATTGCAGAAGGATCTGGATAGGTTACAGGGGTGGGCAGACAGGAACAGGATGCGTTTCAATACGGACAAGTGCAGGGTGCTGCACTTGGGTAGTAGGAACCAGCAGCACACTTATAAGATGGGGAGCTCCCTACTTGAGAGCACGGAGGCGGAAAGGGATCTTGGTGTCATTATTGACTCCAAGATGAACATGGGCCGACAATGCGAGGTCATGGTTGGCAGGGCTAACCGGACCTTGTCGTGCATCCACAGGTGCATCTCGAGTAGAGCCAGGGAGGTGATCCTCCCCCTCTATGCGACGCTGGTCAGGCCGCAGCTGGAGTATTGTGTCCAGTTCTGTGCGCCCCATTTCAGGAGGGATGTGGACAACATGGAGAGGGTCCAGAGGAGGGCCACCCGCATGATCCGGGGAGGGGTGTTGAGTCTGGAGAAGACTGAGGGGTTGGATGACAGTCTTCAAACTGCAAGGTGATTATAGAGGGGTTGGAGACGGGCTTTCCTCTGTGGCTGTAGGAGACCGGACTAGGAGCAACTGCCTCAAGCTGCAGCAGGGGAAACTGAGGCTGGAGATGAAGAGAAATGCTGTGACTGAGGGCGGTCAGGCCCCTAGAGAAGCGGTGAAATCTCTATCCTTGGATGTTTTCAAGAGCAGCTTGGACAGACACTTGCTGGGGTGGTTTCGTCAGGGCTGGCCCTGCCTCGAGCAGGGGCTGCACTCGATGGGACCTCCCGAAGTCCCTTGCAGTCCAACTTTTCTGTGCCCCCGTGAAGCTATTTCAGACCCTAGGCTGGAAAAGGAAAGTGGATTGGCAGAAGATGCGGCTCTGTCCTTGCTCTGTGCAGCCATAACTTTGGGGGAAAATACTTCTTTTATCTCCATTCTGCCTTTCATAAACAAGGCGCGTATTATATTCTGCTGCGGTTGCATGTGCTAATATACGGTACTGCTTCCGCTCTGGGAAGGAGACCGTGCCAGGGAGCGGATGCTTGTGAGTCCTCGTGCACCGGCTTGGAGCTTGCCCGAGGCTCGTACACAGCCAGTCTCTGCAGGGGCTCAGATCCATAGAAATGGTGCTGAGCTCCTTCCAGGATTGCAGGGAAGACCCAGCGTCCCCGGGTTAAACTTTCCCCCTCCAGCAAGGGGGACTGACAAGTCACATACTAGAAGCCCCCAAAGCGATGAGGGCCAGCCATGCCCTAGGTCCAGCCTGGGCATCACCCACTGGCAGGTCTCTACCTCCCGCATCAGGTCCTCTCTATGGCAAACGGGAGTAACCAAGGCCTGGAGGCTGCGGTGACAATCAATTAGCCTCGGCTTGCTGCGCCTTTGCCATTTGCATCTGCAGATGCTTCAGAGTCAAGATCTTCTGGCGACACTTGTCCCTGCCTGGCCACGCCGTCCCCATGTCCAGCCGGGCTTAAAACCCCCCATGCTCATAACCCGCCCTGCCCAGCATGTCCCGGACCACTTCCAGCCTGGTTAGATTGGGTGCAGGAGAGGGGGAAGCAGAGACACGTTCGCTCCCCCTGCCCGGCTTTGATTCCCTGCCTTGTTGCTTTCCATCAAGCTGTGAGCACGGCTGTTCCTCACTTGATTATTTCACATGAAAGGTCTCCCTGCGCCCAGCGGGATGTCTTTAAAGGACTAATTAGCAATGCCACGGTCGTGTTTATGTTGCAGGCGGTGATGGGGGACTGTTTAACATTCCCTTGCCCTTTCCTGTGAAGGGACCTGGTTGGGTTTCCCTTGCTCGAGGGCGTCTGCAATGGCTGAGCTGCAAGAGGAGCGTAAAGATTGGGACTGGAGACGTCAGCCTCTTCCCTTTCTAGCCCAGTAGGACCTGGTCGGACAAGCAGCTGATGCTAGCTAATGCCAGAGGCGGGCACCGATCCAAACGGCATAGTGCCAGGGCTACCGTACTGTCTTGTGTACAACATGCATTTCCCCTCCAAAGCCAGCTGGGAATTTTCGTGTGCATTGTATGCAAGAAATATGGTAAGAGCAGCCTTGGCCTGGGCTCTCTGCAGCGTCCACGACCCCCCCGGCAGCAGCAGGACGTTGGCGGCCGCAGCCCCTCTGTATCCCAGGGGCAGGGGCAATGTCAGGGGCGACTGTCATGCGGCTCCAAGGTCAGAAACGGGGTTTCTCTGGGCTGGTTTGGACGAGGCTGATCCTGCCGCAGGACTGGATGTGACCCCGCAGCTCCCTGCCAGCCCCACAGCTCTGTGACCTCCCCAGCTGGACATGGCTAACTGGGACCCAGGTACGCTGCTGATGGGCTGAGAGCTGGCCCCGGGCTGTCCTGCTCCTCCCCAAGGCCTGTGTCATTTGTGAGCTCAGTATACCCGACCCGTCGTTTCCCATCCGCACGCGCCCGACCCTGCACCGCAAAAGGCAGAGGGGGTCGGATCAGGTCAGCCGGGGATGACAGGCACCCCCAGGGCTCTGCGCCTCCAGGCAGCAGGGTCACGAAGGGTTAATACTGCTGTAATTATTTCTGCCCGTGAATTATTAACGAGGCGGAACCAGCAAATCCCAATTAGAGCCCACGGAGATGTCGACAGCTTGTCAATGCGCCGCGCCTGGGGGACCCTGGGATGCTCTGGGCCAGGGCGAGGTACCCTGAGCTCCCCGGGGCAGGGGCTCAGGCTGGATCTTCCCTGTCGGAGCAGGGAGGCCGTGGCAGGGACGGGGGGACTCTGCGTCACTGGGGGTGTCAAGGAGAGCAGTGGGTGGGGGTGATGTATGTGCAGTGATGCCCATGCTCTGCTATGGGAATGTCCCAGGCTGCTGGCTCCGAGGTCAGACACGGGGTTTGTCTGGGCTGGTTCGGATGGGGCTGATCCTGCCCCAGGACTGGATGTGCCCCTGCAGCTCCCTGCCCGTACCACGGCTCTGGGATTTCTATGATTGTTAAGGCAGGGGACTGGCACTGGCCGAATACCAGGACCCTTGTCCCCAGATTCAGGAGGGGTGACCGAAAATGGCTGCGGGCCACGGTCACTTGTGCAAACTCCTCTCTGCATCTAAAGACCCGTGCACGCATTAGCACTAGATACAGTTGCAGGAGTGTGCATGTGTGCACGCACATCCATGCACGCACACACTTCCCTCTGTGAGCAGAGCATCACAGTCGCAGAGGCCAGGCTGCAGGTGCTCTCAGACCCCTCTGGTGCCTGCAAAGCCCGGTTATTAACTCACACCATGACCTTGCAGGTGGGTTTATCAGGTGCTCAGTGTGTTTGGGGCCAGGACAGACCTGCAGCAAGGGGAGAATCAGGCCGGGGTTGGAAAACTCCCGTGGGACCCAAACCTCGTGGGTGGCAGGTGCTGGACGGAGGCAGGGGACTGCGGGGCCAGGAAGGAGCGGGGAGATGGTGGGGAAACCACCAGCAGGTGAGTGGGAAGCCATGCAGGGATGCAGAGCGCTTCTGCGCACAGGCCAGGCGATCCCATGAAAGCAGCCGGAAAGCCCCAGGGATGAGGAACGGCCCGACACAGGGCACTGGGGCCGAGGCCAAGCGAGGAGGGAGCTAACGGCTCCGCGATGTCGGTGTTGGGCGCAGGGGGGGCCGCTCACGCATGCTCGCGGTGCCCCGGGCAGCTAACACCCCCCGTAACTCGGCTGTGCAAGAAGCCCCGTCCCCTCCCTGGCCCCGACCGCCTCTGACTGCGGCTCTGTTCTCTGCCCTGCAGGACGTCGTCGCTGCGCTGGAACACGGGCACCAAGGAGCGCATGCTCATCAAGGTGACGGACCGCGAGCCCAGCTTCCTCGCCCACCAGGGCAACGGCTACACCCCCGAGGGACAGGTGGGCACGCGGGCACGGCGTCCTTCGGGCGGCCAGGCTTCGCCCGGCCTGCAAACCTTCGCACCCGACGCCGACACCTCAGTCTTCTTCCCCGAGAGGAAAGCGTCGCCCTTCCTGAAGCGGGCCGAGCACACGGGCGGCTGCTCCCCGCTGCTGGGCCGCGCCGACGCCTTCTGCTCCCAGGCCCAGCACCGCAAGCACTCGAGCGAGTCGCAGCCGTCCTCGCCGCGCTACGCCTACGAGCCGCCGCTCTACGAGGAGCCGCCCATGGAGTACCAGGCGCCCATCTACGACGAGCCGCCCGTGGACATGCAGTACGAAGCCAGCGGCAGCTACAAGGCCGGCTCCCCGCAGAAGTCACCCATCCGGAAACCCCACCCGTTCCTGCAGTCGCCCAAGCAGGGCTCCAACTCGCCCTACCAGCAGCTGGTGCTGACCCGGCAGAAATGCCCCGAGCGCTTCATGAGCCTGGAGTACAGCCCCGCCGGCAAGGAGTACGTGCGCCAGCTCGTCTACGTGGAGCAGGCTGGTGCCAGCCCCAAGCTCAAGACCGGCTTGCGGCACAAGTACTCGCCCAACCCCATCGGCGGCTCCTACTCGCTGCAGCACAGCCCCTGCCTGATGCGGGACCAGCGCCTGGAGATCAAGTCCGGAGACTACAGCAGCATGGAGGGGCCCGACTTCCGGCACGGCTCCCCCACCGGCCAGGTCTCCATGGGAGAGGACTCCATGTCGTGGTGCAGCCAGCAGGACACCCTGTCTTCCACCGGCTACTCGCCCAGCACGCGGAAGAGGAAAAGCCGGAAGCCCTCGCTGTCCCACGACCCCAACACCTCCTCCACGGACGGCTCGGGGGACCGGGACGCGCTGGCCGAGCAGCTGATGGCCGAGGAGAGGCCGCCCACCGGACCCAACCGGTCCCAGATGAACCGCACGGAGAGCAAGGCGGGCGAAGCCGAGGGCATGGGGCGCAGCTTCCCCGAGCCCTTCCTGGCCCAGGCGCGGCTGGCGTGGGAGGCGCAGCAGGCCCACTACCACATGAAGCAGCGCAGCAGCTGGGACTCGCAGAAGGACGGCTCGGGCTACGAGAGCGACGGGGCGCTGCCCCTGCCCATGCCCGGCCCGGTGGTGCGAGCCTTCAGCGAGGACGAGGCGCTGGCGCAGCAGGAGAGCAAGCACTGGAAGAGGAACACCTTCGAGAAGCTGGGCTTCCCCCAGATCCTCCTGGAGAAGAGCGTGTCCGTGCAAACCAACCTGGCCTCCCCAGAGCCCTACCTGCACCCCTCCCAGGTAACACGCTGGGCCGGGGGGAAGGGGCGTGGGGTAGCTGGACCCAGGGAGCCCATCACCACGGCACTGGGGCCTCATCAGGCGCCTGCAGGCAGCTCCGTGCTCCTGTGGTATACGGTGCTTACTGCTGTCATGGTGCCGTGCACCCTTCGGGGCTCCTTGGCGTGGCCTGCACTCACCCTGCACTATAACGGGGCACCGCCCTATGCAGCGGTCTTTGCTCAAGTCTTGATTACATGCGTGTTGGGGGCAGCGTATCCCCCAAGGACTGCTGTGGGGCGCTCCCTTCTTTCTGAGAAGGGGTCACCTCGCTGCCCTGAGCCAGAGGGCACCCCAGAGCCGTAGCTGCTGCGGGGTGGGAACAGCTGGGCTTGCGTAGCTCCCTCGAGGCCCTGCTGCTCCAAGCCCTTGGCTTCTGCTTCCCCATGCAGCGCTGTGCCCTGCTCTCGATGCCCGGGGGCTTTCTTTCCAAGCAGAGTCGGGGCTCTCCCCACGCCCAGTCGTCCCGCGATGCCTCGGGGAACTCGAGGGGTAGCGCAGCAGTCAGAAAGCCCTGGGCACTTTGCAGCAGGGAGGGGAGCTGGAAGGCACGTGGTGGGATGGGAGGGGTGCCCCGGGGCGTGCCATGTCTGGAGTCAGCGCGGGCCAAGGAGACAAGGGCACTGCAGCAGGGGTGTGGAGCAGGGAAACCATTTAATAAAACAGGCCTGCTCCCTTCCGGCACAGCTCCGGCAGAGGCAGATCCCCTGGAGTAGCCGCACGTCTGTCCACTCCCAGTCCCGGGCAAACCTGAACAGCCGTGGGGCATGCGTCTGCCCACCCGCACCCTACGCAGCCCTCCCCTGGGGACTCGAGCTCACAGCCAGCAGGAGACTCGCATCCTCCATGGCCCTGCTGAGCAATGACGGGGGTCTTGGAGCTGTGTGCTGGGGGGACATCCAGGCCGGATGCCCTTTGCGGGGCATCAGCACGGGGAAGGGGCGAGGCGTGACTGGGGAGCTCAAAGGCAGCCTCTGCCGGTAAACCAGGCAGCAGTAGCAACAGCTTGGAGAATAACATAGGAGGTTGGGCGGCTGCTGCTTCTCCCCGCGGCCTGGAGCATCTGCCCCTGCAAAGAAAGACAGCCATGTGTGGGCATGGTTGTGTGGGGAGGAGACCCAAACCCACCAGGGACTGGGGCAGACCCAGGTCCATCCTGCCCGGTCCCCTGTGTCCCCCGGGGCAGAGAGCGGAGCTGCAGGGAGAGTGACCGGAGCTGAGCAGGGTTTCCCCCTGTTCCTCTCTCCCTGCAGCCTCCAGCGCTGAGGTCTGATGCCGAGGCCGTGCCCTTCACTCCCTGCTCCAGCACCACCGATGCCCCTTTCCTCTCTGAGCTCTCCCCTTGCATCCCCACTGCTCTTTGCCTCTATACCATACAGGCAAAGCTAACACATCAGGGCAAGTATCTTCTAGATTGCTTCACGCTTGGAGAGTCCCAGCTGGAAACCAAAACCAACTCTCTTGTACCTGAGCAGAGATAGTAACTGCAAGAGGTGATCACGGCACGTGTTGCTTTCTACAGATTACACGACTTTATTTTTTTATAAACGCCCTTTTTTATGTAGCTTTTATTAAATACAAAAGTTTTCCAGCCAGGCAAAGTATCGGTGGGAGTGAAGTAGACTGCACACAGCACGCAGTATGTAAGTTGGCAGCAGAGATCCTTCTGGCCCAGGATTATGGAGATTGCACTGAACGAATTCTGTGCGGGGAGTATGTTGGAGAGAAGACAGTGCCTGCTTTATGAAATACACTTGGGCCCCCTGAGACTTCGGCCCGCGCCGGGTTCTGGGTGGCAGTCGGGGGCGTTTTGTCTCAGGCTGCTTCCCGGGATAGAAAGCCGTGACTGCCCCAGTCCTTGGGGAGCTAGAGCATAAACAGGGCAGACTTTGCTTGGAGTGCGGCTCCCCTCCAGTGCTGAGAGGTAGCCTGGTGCCCTGAGCGTGCTCAGCAGTGTGCTGGTCCCGACCCAGGGGCTGGCGGGTGGGCTCGTTGTCCTGTGCACGCCTGGCTCGTGGTTCAGGACCAACACGATACGCCCACCGTGGGCTTCTGCCCTGCCTGGTCCTAGTCCAGCACATGGCCCCAGCATCCAGGCTGCACCCCCTTGTATCCCAGGGTGCCTGGGATGGTTGAAGACCTGTGGCCCCAAGAGTGTGGCTGTCCCACCCAGGGGAGCCCAGGGTGAGGGAAGTGTGTCCCCTTCCCAGCCCTGGCCTGAGGCAGGTGAGCTTCCTCTGCAGGCAGGCAGGTGGGAATGAGGGCGCGGGGCTGCAAGGTTGGGTCTCCTCATGGAGGGACGCTCTCTGCAATGCCACAGCCTGTCTCAGGCTTCGTGTCCGCAGCCCTGGCGTGGGGGGACTGAAAGAAGTCTTGTTGGCTCATCCATGGTGGCCCCGATACGCACGTGGCCCCAGGAGCTCCCCGGCTGGCGAAGCCTGTGACGTGGCATCTACACATCAGAGCTGCCACGGGCTGAATCAGTCCCCAGGTCCGCCCTGCCCCGTCCCCTGTGTCCCACGGGCAGGGAGCGGAGCTGCAGGGAGAGTGACCAGGGCTGAGCAGGGTTTTCCCCCGTTCCTCTCCCTGCAGCCTCCAGCATTGAGGGTCTAGGAAATTTGGATTTGGAGGCCGTGCCCCTCACTCCCTGCTCAGTAGCAACCTCTCCCTGCCTCTCCGCGCTTGCTGCTCGGTCACGCTCCGCGTGGGCGCGCGCGCTAACCCTGCCTTGTCTGGCTGTTGTTTCGCAGTCGGAGGACCTCGGCGCTTGTGCCCAGTTTGAGAACAGCCGGCAGAACCGGAACATGATGCCCAGCTCCAGCTGCGTCTTCCCCACCTTCAACCTGCGCAAGCCCTCCTCGGAGACGGACATTGAGAACTGGGCGTCCAAGCACTTCAACAAGCACACGCAGGGGCTCTTCCGGAGGAAGGTCTCCATCGCCAACATGCTGGCCTGGAGCAGCGAGTCCATCAAGAAGCCCATGATCATGACCAACGACCGCAACGTCAAGAAGGAGGCCTGCGAGATCTTCAAACTGATTCAGATGTACATGGGGGACCGGCGGGCCAAGACGGACCAGCTCAACGTGGCCTTGGAGATTGCCACCAAGGGCTGGAGCGTGCAGGGCCTGCGGGACGAGCTGTACATACAGCTGTGCCGGCAGACCACCGAGAACTTCCGCTACGAGAGCCTGGCCCGGGGCTGGGAGCTCATGGCGATTTGTTTGGCCTTCTTCCCGCCCACCCCCAAATTCCACTCCTACCTGGAGGGCTATATTTACCGGCACATGGACCCGGTGAACGACACCAAAGGTAAGCAAGGAGCCGCCGCCAACTCCCGCGGGGGGAGTCTGCAGACCAAGCATGGCGACGAGCCGGCCGCAGGCTTTCGTGAGCGTGCCGCGGGGCTGCGGCACTGGCGTCTCCACCCGGCCGCCCCAGAATCCAGCATGAGCTCCCGCCTGAAATGAGCTTGGAACGGGCCTTGCGCTCAGCACCGGGGGCGACTAACATGTCTCCCCAAGCACCACACGCGTACACGCGCCACACACACACGTGTCTAGGTCTCCATGTGCCTCGGCTGTGGCTCTTGCAGTACTGCGGGGTCCCTGAGATGGGTGGTTGGGGGAATGATGCCGCGTTTCGCTCGCCTCGGGTAGCGGAGGCTCTGTAGCCGGCTGCTGCGCTGCTCTCGAATGCGGTGCTTCACTTGCAGGTTGCCTGGGACCGACCCGCCATCTCCCCGGCTCGGCCGGGGCCTGCACATGTGAGTCCCATCCCCTGAGAGGAGCCATCTCCCCAGCTCCGCTTTCCAAAGCAGCCGTGCACCCAGGAAACCGCCTGCCTGGTACCCAGCTGCTGAGTGTGGGATGATGACAGCCAGCAGGTCCCTTTCCCTGCCCCACCATGATTTTGTCTGCGGCACCTTGGGGGCTATCGGTTTGTCCGAGGGCACCCTGGAAGGCACTTGGGGGAAACCAGGAGCTGAGGAGAGGGTGCATTTCTTGGAATAGACCCGTCGACTCATAGAGCCGTGGGCTGGCAGGGAGCTACGGAGCCAACCCCCCTGTCCGTCTGTCCGTCCGTATCAGTCTGACCAGGGGGAAACTCCTTCCTGACCCCAAATGTGGGGGAAGGGGAACATTAGGTCACTGGCCAGGGATCCGGCATGATTCCTCTCCGATTAGGGGTGTTATCTGCAATTTGGGGTCAGGAAAGGATTTCCCCCCTGGTCAGATTTGGCGGGGGGGGGTTGCCTTCCTCTGCAGCGGGGGCACGGCCTCAGCCTGGGGTCTCTGGAGCATATTAACAGCCTTTGCAGCAGCAGGACGCTGGCTGCTGCGGTCCCCCGGCTTTCCTGGGGGCAGGTTTGGGTGTGATGTCTGGTGCTGTGTCAGGGGTGACGGTAGTTTTACAGAGTTTACATGATGGGTTTGTCTGGGCTGGTTTGCACAGGGCTGATCCTGCCTCGGGCAGGGGTTGGACTGGATGTGACCTCTGGAGATCCTTCCTGCCGCGCTGCTGTGTGATTCCCGAAGCTGGGACTGCAAACTTCTGTGTCCAACTCAGCCCCTGCGCACGGCCTGGCCTTGTGCCTCCGGCAGGGCTGACAGTCCCGCTGTCCCAGGTGCAGCTGATCTGGCTCGGGCTCCTCTCCAGTGAGAGTGCAGTGCGGAGAGCCAGCTCCCCACCGCCTTGTAGCCACAGCAGCCGGGCCTCGCGCCCCGACGTCTCCAGTCCCCACCCCAGATCCATCGGCTCCTGTGCTGAGCAAGACACGTGCACCCTTGGGCAGGAGGATGCTCCAAGCAACCTCCTCTCCCCAGGTGTACGTGCCCCCATTTATTGCCAGCCTGCCCAGGTCTGGCTCCAGCCAGCCCTACCCTTGGCTCTGGGTCCTCACCGGCACAGAGGCAGGAGGTCTTTGCCAACTGGTTTCTGGCTGCACCAAGTGATGGGAGAGCATCTGGGGGAGCAGAGGCAACTGGCAGAGCATGATATGTCCTTGAGTGTCCACGAAGCTGCTGCAGAGAGGAGGGTGATAAGCCCCTTGCTGGAGTCAGAGCTGCCAGCATTAGGATTAGAGCCAGACAGCCCTGCGGTGAGGGGGGAGTCTGGCTCAGCTGTGGCATCTTCACCTGCCGGAGATGCTACCAGGGCCACAGACCTCCCAGATCAGCTCCCGGTTCTGTGTGGCCATGGGCTTGCTTCCTCCGCTGAACCTGCTGAATGTGGGATCACGGAAGAGTAGGGTTCAGCTCTCCCCGCTCCGTCCCGGCAGCATGCTCCAGGAGCACAGCTCCATCAGCGCTGCAGCTTCCCTTGCCTTCACTAAGAGCAGGACCAAGCCAGAGGAGGCTGGGACCAATTTGCTGTGCTGGGAGGTCAGGCCTGAGTCCGCAGTCTCCTGGGGTAAGCCCTTGCAATGCTCCGGAGTGGTGCCGCCGGCAGGAGGGGAGCGGAGATGAGGGGTCCGCATGCTTTTCCCAGGAGCTGGAGGGGAGCAGGCATCTCCTAGGCTCCCAGCACATGTGCCCGCTGCAGCACTAAGTGCCCCGAGCCAGGTTCTCCAGACGCAGGGGGCCTCCCCTCCACCCACGAGTGTGATGTAGCCGTAAGCTCGCATTCGCCGGCTGAGGGGGAATTGCACAGGAACAGCGGCCGTGTCCCACAGGTCCCCAGCTGCATCCCTGGAGCTCAGCGTAAGCTAGAGCAGCCCCCAGGCTGCTGGAACAGTGCGTGGGGGAGAACAAGGGGCAGCAGCCAGGCACAAAGCAGATCAGAGGATGCACAGGAGAACTTTACGCCTCCCTCCCAGCCTGTCAAGCACTGGAGAAAGGACAGGCGCTTTCTGACGCAGTTTGCACATGGACAGCGGGGTGGGGAGGAATTGGCGAAGGCGCTCAGAGCAGCCAGACACTGCACCAGGCAAGGCTCCAGGCAGGTGTGGACGTACACAGCAAGCAGGTGGCATGGAGGCTGGGGGCCGTTGCGGGCCTGACAGCCAACTGGGGAGCCCAGCCCGGGGAGGAAGAGGAGGAAAGCGTCTCACGGCACATCCCTGCGTGGCTCCGAGCCGGGAGCGCCTGTCCCGTTCAGTGCATCCTTCCCTGTACATGCCACCTGCCATATGGCAGCCCCTGTGTCATCAGCCCAGAGCCCGCCCTGCTGTCCAATTACTGCTGGTAATTGGTTATTGCAGACACCATTAGCTCAGGGCTTTTATTTTCAGTCATTAAGCCACAAACCATATATCAGCTCCCAACCACTCCCATCCGACAGCCTAGCTGGAGCATAGGATTGCTCTAACGAGGTGCGAAACTTCATTCAACTGTTTCCTTTTCCTCTTCCCTATCCTCCCTCGCTCAGCACAAGGCCCCAGCACTGCCCCTGGCAGCCTAAAGCTCTTAAACCCTGCCCTGCAACTGGCAGCAAAGCTCCCCGCGCTCCTCTCTCAGGGCTCCCAGCCTGGCTTGTCCCCAAGCAGCTTTCCCAGCATGACAGCAAAGCATTTCCTCCGTGAGCTGCCCTGGGATTAGCAGTGCCGGGGGGGGGGTTGGGAAACAGCCCAGTGGAGCAAGCGGCACAAGGTGGGGACTTACCCCAGGGCAGCTGGCAGGCGGTAGCTGCCTGTGTGTCTGCGCTTACCCTGTGGGAAGTGAGAGCTACACTGCGGGGTGCCGGCATGGGCTAAGCTGCCCCCTGCTTTGCTAGTGCTTACCCTGGGGTAAGAGCGGGCAGATAGGGACCTCACCTGCCTGCTTTCAGCTCTTTGGCTCGTTCATTTGTCCGACCTGCGGCCCTCTAGGAAAGCACCTGCCGGCTCTGTTCGCAGAGGTTGAGTGGAGTCTCTCCCCAGTCAGAGGTACAGCCCCTTGCACACGTGTGTGCACAACACCCTGCACGGCTGCCCCTGCTCCAGGGCTTCTGCACACCACAGCTCTCCTTCTCCCTGCTCTCGCCGGCTCCATCCGCCTCTCTCTTCTTTATGAAGCACTGTCACAAGGCCCCTCGGCCCCAGCCGGACGGGTCCCAGCTTGGCTGCACAGGGCACAGGCGTGGATTAATGCAGAAGGGGGAACCCACCAGGCCACTGCTTTAGCTGTAGCCCTGAGGGCAGTGCAGCCCCTGGTCCCTTCTGCCTGCTGGCAGCTGGGGTTGGCACCTGGCAAGGGCTGGGCTTGTGCAGCCATGGTCTGCCAAGATGCAGACGGGAAGATTTTGCAGACAGAGGCAAGTTGCAAGAAAACAGGTTTAGGTTGGATCTTAGGAAAAGCTTCCCTGGCCGAGCAGGGAGGCAGTAGGAGAGATGCCAGCGAAGGGCAGACTCTCCGTTGCTGGAGGGGCTCAGGGAGAGGGTGACAGGCACTGGGCGGGGAGGATCTAGGTGCAGCAATGCCCATGGTCTGCTGTGGGGATGTCCCAGTCTTCTGGGCTTTACTGGTTGCCATGTGGGGCTGGGAGGGAATCCCGTACTCCCCTTCCTGCTCCATGTGTCGGGGTTTTAAGCCTCCTCCAGAGGTGCTGGGTACTGCATCCCGGGATGGGGATGGGGCTGGGCTGGGCCAATGCTCCTGCTGACACCAACCCCGCAGGATCCTGGCTGGAGGGTCTTGCCCACGTGCTCAGGTTCATCCTGATGCTGCACTGGGGCAGGAAGGGATTTCCCCCCTGCTCAGACTGGTGCGGACTGGGAGGTTTTGCCTTCCTCTGCAGCCACGGGCCCTGGCAGCAGCAGGACATTGGCAGCCACGGCCCCCCGGTATCCCAGGGGCAGGGGCGGGGGCGATGTCTGGGGCTGTGTCGGGGGCGACTGTGTTGTGCAGCTCTGAGGTCAGACATGGGTTTGTTTGTGGGGTTTGGACAGGGCTAATCCTGTGTCAGGTTGGGCTGGATGTCACCCCACAGCTCCCTGCCAGCCCCACAGCTCTGGGATCCTCTGTGATCATATGAGATGGCTGGGTTGATTTCCGGTGAGAAGTGGAGTACAATGATGTGACCACCTGGATCCCGTCTGGCCTTGAGGTCTAGGCACCCCTGGGTATGTCCCAGGCTCAGGTTTGGGGCGACTTTAAGGCATCTCTTCTTGTACCCCTAGCCACGCAAGCCTTCCTGTCTCATTGGTGTCACCCCAGGGTAGCACAGAGGGAGACGAGTAGCGGGAGGACTGGTTCATAGAAAAGGACCAGGAAAAACTCCAGCAGGGCCCTAGGACCTGCACCCACTGCTTGTCTCTCCCGTGCTGCACCAACCTGCAAAAGGGGCCAAGCTCCTCTCGATGCTCAGAGGAGCCTCGGGGCGTGGGGTGCTGG